ACAGCGTTATTGCATAAAATTTTGTTTTAATCTTGGTGATTCGCAAGTGGAAACAATTCGCAAGATTAAACAAGTGTTTGGAAATGAAGCGATGGGCACCACACAGATAAAGGAGTGGTACAACCGCTTCAAAGATGGCCGCTTATCAGTTGAAAGTGAACCACGCTCAGGGAGGCCCTCAACATCGAAAAATGATGCCATCATTGATCAAGTGAGGAACCTGGTGATGCAGAACCGCCGAATCACAATCAGAGAGCTTGTAGACGAGGTGAGTATTAGTTTTGGTTCCATTCAATCAATTTTGACTGACGACTTGGGCCTCAGGAGAGTCTCAGCAAAGTTTGTACCAAAGCTGCTAACNAGAACCGCCGAATCATGATCAGAGAGCTTGTAGACGAGGTGAGTATTAGTTTTGGTTCCATTCAATCAATTTTGACTGACGACTTGGGCCTCAGGAGAGTCTCAGCAAAGTTTGTACCAAAGCTGCTAACATTTGAGCAAAAAAAACTTCGTCTGGAGATCGCACAAGACATGCTGGAAACTGTGAACGGTGATCCCGACTTTATGAACACAGTGATTACAGGTGACGAGTCATGGGTTTATGGATATGACCCAGAAACCAAGCGCCAGTCAACACAGTGGAAGCATCCTTCATCTCCGAGGCCCAAAAAAGCAAGGCAAGTTCGCAGCAATGTCAAGGTCATGCTAACTGCCTTTTTTTTACTCCAGTGGCTTAGTACATCACGAGTACGCACCCCACGGTACTACAATCACCAAGGAGTACTACCAAGAGGTTCTGCGTCGCCTTCGTGACGCAGTGAGGCGCAAGCGCCCGGATCTGTGGGCAACAGGCAGTTGGAAGCTCCATCATGATAACGCGCCCGCACATTCTTCCCATTTAATTCAGAACTTCTTGACAAAACACAGCACACCAGTGGTTCGTCAACCTCCCTACTCTCCTGACATGGCTCCCTGCTATTTTTGGCTTTTCCCAAAGCTGAAAATGCCACTAAAAGGGGCCAGATTTCAGACCAGAGAAGACATTATGCAGAATGCGAGAGACCATCTGAGAGCCATACCGAAGGAGGACTTCCAGCGATGCTTTCAACAGTGGCAGAAGCGTTGGGAGAAGTGTGTGGCAGCCCAAGGGGACTACTTTGAAGGGGATTTGTATTAAATAATTTTATTATAATCGACGTTTATTTTATGAACAAAAGTCGGATACTTTTTGATCACACCTCGTATAATAGGTTTTGTGTTTCTCACAGGTTTCTTTGTAAAACAACATAAATACAACAGATGTTTTGTCTGTATTCACATGTGTGTGTGTGTGTGTGGGGGGGAGTAATCATCCCAAGAGCCATGATAGGGTTAAGAAGTAATGTAAAAAATTAGTGACAATTTATTTATTTTCAGTTTATCTGTTTTTTTTTAAAAGTTGTTTTACTTATCGTTTTATTTGTTTTTAGCTCCTTTAAATGGTTTCTTGAATTAGAGCCTATGCTAAGTTATTTATTTTCAGTTTATCTGGGTTTTTTTAAAAAGTTGTTTTACTTATAGTTTTATTTGTTTTAGTTCCTTTAAATTGTTTCTTGAATTAGAGCCTCAGCTAAGTTATTTATTTTCAGTTTATCTGTTTTTTTTTTTTAAAAAAGTTGTTTTACTTATAGTTTTATTTGTTTTAGCTCCTTTAAATTGTTTCTTGAACTAGAGCCTCAGCTAAGAGACATAATACATCGATTTTATAATTCAAAATATGCATCCTGTTTGAAACTGTTGGAGGAAATCAAGGTAAAAACATTTTCCATTAATTTTTTATGACACTCCATTAAAAAATGTTGATGACCTTATTCATCTCTGAATCTTATTTTTTAGGACAATCTTCTGCTAGACATGTATTTAGCCCCTCATGTCAGTTCTCTTTACACACAAATTCGAAACAGAGCTCTCATACAGGTAAGGAGAATATATTTCTTTTTATCTTATTCATAATCAATTATTCGTAATTTCAATAGCCATCAAAGTTAATTGTATGAGGCAGCAATGCTTAGTTTCTAAGCAGTGTTGCCAAAACTGCTATTATATTAACACTACTGTTTTGAATAAGATGCTAAAATAAAAAAAAACTTCAGTGAAAAATAAAAAATTTAAATGAAAACTTAGCAATAAACATTGTAATGAAATATATAGAATCTAGGGCTAAGATACAATATAAAATTTTTATTTAAAGTTATTATAAATTAGAAAAAAAAATTGAATTAAAAAAACAGATATAATAGCAATAGTCTGTGTTGGATTAAAAAAAATAATAATTAAAAATGCAAATTAAAGATAAGAATATCATAATAAAGTAATAATAAGAAATTTAATCCTTTTGTTTTTAATGTAATGATATGTCATATTATTTTTAAAATATCTATGCATTTAATACTTTCCACAAAAATGTTGTAATTTTTGTTATCCTATAATGTTTTGTGTCTCTCCTAATGGAGGTTTATTTTGATATGGAGATTTGATTTTGAGATTTTTGTAATTTTGCAGGTTAAAAATTTTTACTCTTCTAAATAATATTGCATGATTGAAGCCTTATTATTAGTTAGCCATTGAATCAAAATAGATTATATGATACACATTTATTCTGAAATGAAAATACTTTTAAAAGTATTCTTTTTATTTTTTTAAGCTGTATTAAATTATAACATTGAAATCTAAATCATGTCTGTGAAGGCTGAGGGGGAAAACAACAATTAATTAAGTGTAACAACTATTTTTCTTTCTTAATAAATTTTTTTAGGAGGTGGAGAGAATACTTAATTCTGTATAGTATTCCCTCCCCCTAGGTAATATACGGACCCTGTAGCAGAATTTTTTTGAGCTTTCTGCAACATACCTCTTTATTACTATTGTCTTTCTACAAGATATTTCACAATAACAACTATACAAACTTCAAAAAACTATAACTTCAAAAAAATAAAATAAAATAAATAAATATAAATAAAAATTAAATTAAATAAAAATTTTTTTTTAATTGAATATGTGATTTTTTTAAATTCTAATATTATGGGTGATATTCTTGCATTTTGTAGAAGGATAACTCACTAATTATTTTCCTTTTTAGATAGCACACTAATTATTTCCTTTCTCACATTTTATAAATCATCATCACATTAAAAAGTAAAAAAATAAAAACGTTAAATCTGTAGCAGTGACTACCAAGAGAAAAAGATAGACGACGAAATCATGCGAATCGGACTCTTCAAAAAAGGGTTACTAATTGCGTGTTTTCATTTCAAGATTTAGTTGTGATAAATAATATCAGATTTTGAGCTATGTGGGAAGAAGTAGTAATAACTACGCGGAAGATTAGAACAAAAATTTCCACGGAAGAGAAAGCCAATTTTTTAAAATCATTATTCTTTATTTTTCATATTTTTTCCCTACTCTAATGGGCGAAACAGTCTTTTGAATATAATACTAAAAAAAAGATCAAATTTTTCGTAAAGTTTTGCAGAAAAGAAAAGCAACAATTTTTATTTCCCCTAAGGGAAAATCCTTCTGCAAGAACTTAGTAACGTTCTGTGACAGTGTCACCATGTCGCCACAATTCTGCCATGGGGTATACAGAATCATTATGGTTATTTGGAAACAAAATAATTACATGGGTGCCGGATTGTGTGGATGATCCTGTTTTCATTCACCTATATTATCTTCTGTCCTTTTCTCATTATATTATTAATTTTATGACTTTTATTGTGTATTTGTTTGCATGGTTAATGATGATTGAATATGGAAAAACATGAAACAATCTTCTCTTTAGTATTTCAGCCCATACTTGTCAGCTGATATGAATAGAATGGCTTTAGCTTTTAATACAACTATTGGAGCTCTCGAGGATGAACTGATGCAGTTAATTCTAGATAATCAAATACAAGCAAGAATCGATTCACATAACAAGGTACATTTAACAAACATCACAACTGTGGGTTCAAGGTGTATGGATGCTCCGGGCTAGCTTTTTTTACACCGCCAAAAAAAAAAAAAAAAAAAAAAAAAAAAAAAAAAAAAAAAAAAAAAAAAAAAAAAANAAACAAAAAAAAAAAATAATGGGGGTAGAGAAAAAGACAATTTAATTTTTAAAAAAAAGAATATTGGTTCTATATTTATGTATAAAAATCTAAACTCATATTTTAAACTCTTTTTGATTTAAATATAAGTAATATTATGTACAGGGTATCTGCACACCTGAAAAGTCATGGATTTTGGTATAGAACAAAATTTGTCATGAAATGTCAAGATTTAAATTTTTTTTTTTAAATCATGGAAAGTCATGGATTTAGGTGGCTGAAAAATCTAATTTTTAAAATGGAATTTCCCTCCCCCCTTCCGATTTCCCAGTCTTCCTAATATCTGAATTTGTAACAAAATCCCCACTCATTGTCATATTTTATTAAAATATAAAATGTTTTTATCCTGTTCTTTAAAAATGGTTTTCTTTCAAAAAATGAAAGAATGAACATCATTTCTAGAGCGAATTATCTTATAAACTTCCGTAATTTCAGAATTTTTTTTATCTATTTATTATTTTTTATTTTTATTTTATTAATTTAAAATTCTAGTTTAGGCTTTTTGTATTACACTTACTTTAAAAAAGAAATAAAACAACTTTAAATAACTTCATTTATCTTACAGCATTTAGTTTTTTGCTTTTGTATTTTTTTTCAGCTATTTTATTGCTTCAACTCTTTCTTTACTCTTTTTTTTTTAAGTTTAAAATCAATAAATATGAAGATGCAGAGTATAACAGTTTTGGTTATACCTATCATTTCAATTACTGTTATTATAATGCTTTATTAAATTTATTGTTGTGCTTTTCTCGGAGAAAATAGTAACTTCTTAAGTCGTGAAAAATTCTTGAAGTTATTCTTGGAAAGTCATAAAAAGTTATGGATTTGAAAATCTGAAATGTAGCAGATACCCTGTAATTTCTTGAAGTTTTAGTGTCCTTAGCCATTGAATAAATGGTTCTCATACATCGTCCTTTTTCTGGATGCATGGGGCCTTTTGCCCCCTTCCTCCCATCTGTGCTTCACAATAACTTTATCTACTTCTTGTAATGTATGTATAAAACATTTTTTTAAAATGAGGACTGTTATTTTCCTAGTTTATAATGAACTCGGATGCACTTGGAGAAATTGAACAACTTATCAAATCTTACAAACCAAATAAAAGTTAAAGGCACGAACATACAAATGAAAATAATTCAAACTGACAAATTGACTGATTGCATTGAAACCTGGAAGATTGGGCAAGCAAGAAAGAAAGAAAAATTGCCAATGGCAAAATGGCAAAAGAAAATGACAAACTTTTATAAGATTTACCAGGAGTCTGTCCAGGGCAAATTTACTACTGTTTAGAAGTACCTTCACAAATTCAACTTTAGAAAAAATTTCACAAAATACAGTATAGAACCCGTTATCCGGAAATTAGAAAACCGGAAAACCCAAAAACCGGAACGAAATTCAATAAATTTTCTCGCCATTTAAAAAAAATTTTTTTTTTTCCCTCATAAGATTTTACGATTTTTCTTTCTTTTTTTAAAGATGTTTACCTTACCATCATTTTGGAAATTATCATTAGTGTATTACTTCATCGTTTTTTCTTATTTTTAAGATTATTTCCAATTTTTTTTTTAGTTGGGTTTAACAATAAAAAAAACGGCTTTTTGTCGCGATTCAGAAAACCGGAAAAATCAGTTATCCAGAATAGCGATCGTCCCGACCGTTCCGGATAATCGGTTCCCTACTGTACTTTTAATAAAGCTAAAAAAGCTTTTCTAAAATAACTTTTAGTGCTAGTACTGTTAAATGCTTGTTTTTTTATGAAATTCAAGTTGGAAAGTTCAAGTTTCAATAGAAAATTATTTTTATGGATTTTTAAATTTGGGTAAAATTTTAAGCCCAAAATTTTACAACAGCAAAATTATTTTTGAATATATGGGAAAAAATATATAGAGAAATTTACCTGCCATAAATATTTTTTATTTGTAGTGACAATTTTTGAAAATATTTTCTTACTTTACCATATTTTTGTGTTGATTTTTTAATATAGTTTTTCTAAATCTAATGTCTAAATTTTCTCAAAATCGGTACCTCTCAAAAAATTTACAGACACCTGGTTATGATGCTCTTGGAGAAATTGAACAGCTTATCAAATCTTACAAATCAAATAAAGTTTAAGGCACGGACATACAAATGAAAATAGTTTGAATTGTCAATTCAACTGATTGCAATGTGACCAAGGAGATTGGGGCAGGCAAAAAAACGAGAAGGGGATTTTAAGGGCAAAGGAAAATAACAAACTCTCATAAGATTAACAAAGAACAGGAATAAAAAAAAACACAATAAGAGGAAAAATTCAGTGTCCGATCAGCAGATGTTGAGTACTCCAGTATTGCTTCATCTCAGAGCCCCCAAACAGAGCCCTGCATCCTAACAAATGCTTCCTGTTCATGATTTCGTAACACCATGATTCGATAGCACTCTGTGGAGGCACTGATATTATGTGATATACAGTTCGTTTACCAGGAGTTGGCTCTTATCTCCGCCTTCATCACATGGTATTCGACGATACTTTTTCTCTATTTTTGGGAGCAGGATGAAAACAATCTTAAACAAGGTTACTATTTTACGATCGTATGACAAAAATTTTTATTTAGCAAGCTTTATGTACATTTTTTTAACATTGCATATTTCATAAATCTTACAATATTTCTCTCTTTTAGTGAATAGTTTGTCCTTTTTGGGACATTTTACTGCAATATTAGCTAATGTATTTTATTAGCTAGTAATTTATTAGCATATAATTTTTTAGTATATTAATTTATTATATATTAGTATATTAATTTAGTATATTTAGTATATTAATTTATTAGTATATAATTTATAATGTATTTTATTAGTAATTAATTAGCTAATGTAATGAAAGGTATAATAGCAGATGATAAAGCAAAGTAAATGACTGAAAAAGAATTCATTGTTTGCTTTTGGCATGCATTAAGGTTTGTCTCAATTTCAATCTCAGACACGTTTCTCCTCTTACTCCCCTCACGAAAATGAACTCTTTCTTTGAGGAGGTGGAGTCAAGTGCCAACTCCTGCTGAACGAACTATAGTGCTTTGCAGTGTTTTTTAGCTAAAAAATTTATTCAAATTTTGGGAGAAATAAAAAATAAAAAGCTGACTAGCTTTTATATAAGTGTATAATACTGTTATTTCTAAAAAGTATTCTACAATAATTTCATTTAGAAGCTATAGAACTTGGGAAGCATTTATTTTATGGTAATTTTCATAAATTTAACATTATCTTTTTCTGAAATTTTGTAGAGAAAAAATGCATTAAATGTTCTTGATCAATCAATAAGTATGACCTCATTATCTAACTTCATTATTACCAGAGGATTTGATATGTTTAACTATTTCATCTTTTATCTTTAGATTTTATATGCAAAAGATATTGATCAGAGGAGTACTACTTATGAAAAAGCCATTCAAATGGGAAAGGAATACCAAAGGCGTACTACTGTAAGATAGTTATATTTATTGATGTGTTAATGTTAAACTTTATTGTTACAATTTAAATAACTAAAAAGTTTTTCCTTCGGCTTTAAACGAAAAATATTAAAATAATTATTTGTTGAATTTCTACTTGGTGTATTATTTAAAATATTGCAAATTGTTTTGTTATTGCTAAATTTTCAAACCGAAATTTTTCTAAAAATTATGTAAGTAAATTCTAGTATTATGTAAGTAAAATTCTCATGCGAGTTGTAGTGCAATTTGATCACATGAATCAGTTAATTTGTATTCACACAAGATTGGATACATTATTTTGATATAAAGGATTTTTTTTCTTATTAGCTATGCATGTCTGTCTTTAGACTATTAAGACTATTTTGTAATTTTACATTAAAAAAAAGCTAAACAATTGTAAAATATATATATATATATATTTTTTATTGGCATAATTATGACAATTTGCACATTTTTCCCTTGAATTTGATAACTTTCAGTTTATAAATTTTTCTACATTTATTATTCAGGCAAAACTATGCTGCATATTGTAATGTGCTTTCTTTATTCTAAAAACTTAAATTGTGTTTATTAGTGTTATGTTGACTGGGGGGATTAAATTCTCAATAATATTTCCATAAAATTTGTATTCTGATGGTTAACTTATTATCTTAATCAAAATAGTAATTACCTTTTACGACTGATATTTATTAAAATAAGCATGTTTGTAAATCGAAATTTAGGATAATTTTGTTTTTTTAGGCTTATCCTTAAGCCTTTAATCACTTTTGTACTGTAGTTGATAGCCAGCAGAGGAAAATGTACAACGGTTAATCAACTATATATAGCCAACAGCCAGAAAGTTTTCATTTCATCTGAAATTGGATTAAATAAAAAATGTGCATAGTATATTCCTTTGATGTAGAAATTATTAAACACTTTTATGTTTTTTTTAGTTATTTTGTATTAATTTAAGTCAAAATAAGTAAAAGATATTTCATTTAGAATTTTAATAATTGATAGTTATGAAATACAGCTTTAAACACCAGTGTATTTTTCTGCGTTGAAGATCAAACATGGCTTACTCCCAAACAAAAATTTTTCAAATTTATGCTTACTTGCAGTTATTTAGATCTAAGAGAAACAGTTATTCATCATTGAAATTTCTTTAATTTACAAAATCAGTTATTGATAAATTTTGAAATCTGAATGAAAAAATTTTTTAATTGTTTTTTTTAAACTCTCTTTTGGATTTTATTACTGATACAATTCCGATAATCTAACATATTTTTTAGCAACTATTATGCAGTTTAATAATTAAATGCAGTTAATAATTAAAAAATAGCAAACTATAGCTTCTAATTAGTGTGTCAGAAAAAATACGTAAAAGGGTTAGAAGATATGCAACAAAATAATCATTTTTCACTCTTCAAATTTTATTTATTTTTATAGATAATCTTGCATCATTAGCATTAAATATTTAGTAATGCTTATTACATTTGTGTACTGTTTTATATCAATCTTTTAAAAGACACGTAAAGGATGATCTACTTCGTTTTCATACTGTTTCATACTAATTTTGAAATGCTTTTGGAATATCTGTGTGCATTTTACATTTATAAAATGTTATTTGATTATTTATTTATTGTTCATTTACAGCAACTCATATTGCGGTCAGCGATGCTACGTAACCAAATTCAAGTTAAAGTAAGTTTTCTAGATTAATTTTTACATTTAATGTGATTGTTTTAAATTATCTTAAAATTATTTGGTTATTGTAAAATAATTTCTTTGCCTTGACTCAATGTATGTTAAGCATCCTGATTTATTTATTTATTTATTTTTATCTATAAAGCATCAATGTGTTTAAATGACTTGTTAAAATATTATTTTAAAAGGGACTGTTGTATTTGAAAAAAGAAAAATCATGGTGAAAATGCATTGTTGAGCTACATAAAATGTGCATGATCCGTCGCAAAGTTTGCTTACAATGCAATATAATTATAATGTTTGATTTGAGCTTTTGTTTGGAGAAGAGTATAAATAATTGGCACTCTTCATAAATTTTTTTACCCAATCTTTTAAGTGTAGCGAAAAGTCCATTTTACATTTGTAACGTTTTAAATAAATAAGTTTTAATTTATATTAACATATCCTTTCACAAATATTTATAAAATGCAGAGCCGAAAAGGAAAACTTTATTAAAGCAAAATTAGTGCAGCCAAAACCCCTTTTAATTAAGAAAATAGTTTTTATAGCAACTGCTTTGATGATGAACATGATTTTGTCGACTAGTACTTAGCAAATTGCTAGTGAGAAAAAAATGTCAGATGCGGAAGAACTTCTTAACTATTTGATTCATGTTTTGTGTCATGATAAAAAGTGCTTATTTTCTTTTTTAAAAGCTCTTCAAGGTACTTTCTTCATTACGTGTTTTAAAAAATGTGCTTTCCCTTTCGAAAGTGAGATTTTTTTCTTTACCATGTCGACTTTTGCCACGTATTATGCATTTTTGCCTTGTTCTATTTAACATTGTCACAATTCATTCAAACACAATCCATTTCGGTGTACTATCAGTTCAATAGTGTATGAAAGTAGCAATCATTTTACATGCTTGATGAAATTTTTGCGAGTTCGCATGTGCATCTACCCAGCTGGATTCGGTGAGATTCTTGCACTTTCATGTGCAACTCTGCTGCAATTTGCATGATGTTCTCAATTGCAAACGTCATTTTCCACCCTCTGAAATCACACTTATTATCATTTTTTAATGGGTATTATAATCAAGAAAGAAGTTCTTTGTCAGAAACTAGTTATTTTATCATGATCATCTAAAGTCTTTGAAAATTATTTTGCATTTTGGTAATGTGGATAGCGCTTAAAAATATTTCTTGAGTGCTTAAAAAGTACTTTAATGGTGCTTATTTTTTGTTGAACGATTTGATTACGCACCTGGTGTCTCATTCAATTAAGAGATTAAGAAGGAACAAAATGAACCTGAAGTAATTCCTCACTGGTTTGTATAGCAATATAAAATGAGTAAGTAAGTACAAGTATAAAATTGTACTTCTTGTGCACAAAACCCTTATAACTTCTTAACTATTTATCTTATCAATTTCTTTTTTGTATCATCAAGACAGTAAGAAAAATTACATATGAAGATTTAACTTTCATGTTCAGGTAGCCCCTAAATAGTATGCAATGTATGTTCATAAATATGTGTATGTTCATACGCAATGTATGTTCATAAGCAATGTATGTTCATAAATATGTGTCAATAGAAGTATTTTTTATGCATGAAACTCTTACGACTTTTGAGCTATTTCTTCTGTTGACTGGTGTATAGTCTAATTTAATTTAGCATCAAAATGTACATTGGTAGCAATGCTTCTTGTTTAAATAGCAATATCAGATGCGTAAATAAGCAACAAAAGTGTACTTTTCGTACATAATATACTTATACTTCTAAATTATTACTTTGATCATCTCGAGAGTGGAATTGTCTAAAAATATGTCAGAAGCAGTGCAGCATTTGCCTGTCCTGAAGAAATTCAATACTTTTCCTTAAAAAGGAGGGAGCATACGGAGGATCATAAAAAATTTTCAGGTACCATTTATAACAAAGTTGTCTGAAAAAAAGTATTGGGTATTCATTTTTCCAAGGAGAAAGTTTAATTTTATTGGACTATATTATTGACTTTGTCATCCCTGTTTGTGAATAAAAAATATATACGATCCATTAATGGGATGAAATTATGATACTGTCATAAACTATTTTTTAAAATTTTTCTTTCTTTCTTTAATTAGACCTGTCATGTGTCTGATTCAGCTATGAAGGAAGCTTTTTCAGTGCAGCAGGATTTACCTGTATGTAATCTTTATTTATCTTTATTATTAATTTCATTGCCACATTTTATCACTGTGAAAAATTTGCTTAGCTGCAATATTAGTTTTTTTAATGGTGAATAGTGTCGTTCTAAACTAAAATTTTTGATTCGGATTTTATGTGTGAATCCTTTGAAATTTTGTATATATTGTAAATATGCTAGTTAATTTATTAAAACGTTTCCAAAAAGAAATTCTCTGAGTTGAAATTAAGAAATTTTTATATTCTTATGCTATACAAGCTATTATTAAACATTTATAAAAATTAAATAGAATAAGTATATGATAAGAAAGTGCCATGTATTTAGGATTTTTTTTTAAAATACTGTATAAAAAACCAATTAAAAAAATTCAAACATTTTCTTTCTATAAAATTATTTAAGAAAAGAGGGCAATGTTCTGCTTAGGAAATCAGAAACGTTTTTCTCACCAAATTTCAAGTAACTTGCAAATTTTCTCATCAGATGACGCTGATAATTAGAGAAACTAAAAAACAGCATTTTTTTGCTTTACGTCAGCCTATTCCAACTGAAATTTCTGCTCATTTTGTCTTCATACTGCTCCACATTGTTGTTACAAATGATGTTCTTTTTAAAAGCAATTTTATATAAGTTTTTATCATTTAACAGTGCATTCTGTAGGGCAGCGGTTACCAATTTTTTCGGCTGTAGAGCCCTAAAGCGACCCAACTAAATTCTCCCATGTGAAACTCCCAACTAAATTCTATGTCAAATAAAATTATATTTTCTGTTTAATTCTAATCTTTGCAGATGTGGTTGCTATCAATTATAAAAATAAATGCTTAAATTTTTTCTAGTAAAGTTATCTTTAATTTAAAAAGAATTTTTTTTCTTCCTCTTACAAAAAGAAATATAATAAAGTATGGAAGGAGAATTTTTTGGCAGCTGCATGTACAACCCATTTATTTTTATTTATTTATTTTTTTGAGTCTTATCTCCATGTGACTGCCTTGTAAGAGGGGGAAGGAGAGAAGGGGTAGAAATGGAGACATTAAAACCTCTTATTTTCAATATTCTTAATAAGTAAAATTTAAAAATTACATGTAGAATAATATCAAGTTAAAAATAAAAGATGCATTTGGGGAAAGAAAATATGTTTTCGAAGAGAGTTACAAAATTCAGCTGTTTTAAATACAAAAGATTCCTAAAAAAAACTCAACTCAAAATTCTATAAAATGAATTCAAGCGTAAATTTTGTTTTTTTGCAAAGTTCCATTTCTTCTTTGAATTTAATTCTACAATTTGATTTCTATGCTAAAAGTTACGCAGAAACCTTTGACTATTACTGTAATTTTGCTAACGAGGATGTATGAAATTACTTAAATGATATGCTTAGGTAATATTTGAACAGTGCATTTATTAATTTTATTTTCTTCTTAATTTTAATTTTTTTTCTTTCTTGATTTAGAGTCCTCCTAGAGAAGGATCTCAAGGGATTGAAATACCTGCATCTCCTTTGAATTGTCCACCAAGAAATTGAAGCCTGTAAGAGAAATAATACCTTTTAATTATTCATCTTTAAATTTTAGTTCACTGTGTACTAAGTTCACTGTGTACTTTAGTAAACTGTGTACTAAGTAATAGTTCTCAGTATGTTAAAAAAAAAAGTTTTGTAAATCTTGTAAAAAGATGTAACTTTATTTAATACTTTAGTAAATGCAACTTTTTTTTTCTAGATTAGTGTGGATTTTATGACAAAATTTAAATTTCTGTTGTATCTATTATCTTTGCCTGTAAGCAGAACTTCTGTTTATTGTATATTTTCTGCATAATAAACCAGTTTATCTACTCATATTTGTGAACAATTTTCGTGGCTTCCAGCTGTTGATGTTCTGTAAAACAATTTTCTTGTATATGTGAATACCAATAAATTTTTTTAAAAATCTGAAGTTTTATATCTTTTTATATGAATGTAAAACATGTAAAGATTGAGAAATGTAATTAAAAAGATGTATTTGGAGAAAAAAATATCTACATCTTAGCCCTTTTGACCCGACTTTCGCAGCTTTAAAATTTTAGCATGATAGGCAGTTTATGTTAATGCTGACATATAAAAATAAGTGCACTATGAGTTTAAAATTTTCCTAAAAATCTCCTGGGACAATATGTCACAATCGTCCTGAATATTGTAGAAATACCTACATATTGCATGAGAATGAGTAATGAAAATAATATAAATGCATCGAGTTATTTATTCTTACCAGAAGTTGTTATAAAATAATCAAAACAAAAACTGAAATTTTGTCTTATAATATTTTTATCACTAATCGGATATATTGTCTCAATGGTAAGTATGATAGGAACAATGTATCCCACAGAACAAAATTTCTTAAATCTGATATTAAATAGTAGAATTGTTACTTAATAAGCACAAACATAACTATTTCTTATAAAATATGACAAACGTATAATTGTACTTTCTAAAAATTTAGGTAATATGTTAATTAAAACAAGATTGATTGGCATGCTCGCAAACATGGATGTTGACCATTTTGAATGTGAGAGCGTTGCCATGTTCCTTTAGTCATATTTTTATTCCCTAATGCCTAAATAACCCTAAAAACATTAAAGAAGACCCATGCAGAGTTGGGATCTGTTTATCCATTAGGGAATGAAGTTTAATCTTTGGAATGTATATATCCCATTCGGGTCAGAAGGGTTAAAGAAGACTAGTTATTTCAATGGAACTCTGCCACAAACTATTGCGTAAATTGTCCCTTCTCACTAGTGCAATTCGTTTTCACCTAACTCTAGTGTTAATAAATTAAAAAAGTGGAGGAAAAGATAAAGGACTCGTATTAACTGTTTGCGTGTCCCAAAAATGGATTTTCAGTCTGAATAATATTTTTTACACTTTTAAAACTTATATTATTTTTTTGCTTTTAATTTTTAAGGAATTTAAAAGGTTAAATATAATTTGTTAATCTTTCTCTCACTATTGTATTATAATTTACCTGAAGTCTAGTTTTTATAAATTAATTACAAAATTAACGATTCCTTATTCAGGCAAAATGATGCTGAAATAGAAAAGAAGATCTAGCATGGTGCGTAGCGTTTTTAAAAAGTGCTTAAAAGGTGTTTATTTTCGTTTTTAAAAACCCTTAAAGGTGCTTTTTTCATTGGATGTTTTTAAAAAGTGCTTAGTTTTCCCATTTCGAAAAGGGAATGTCGATTTTCGCCCTGTATTATGTAAAAGCGTGCTTTTCACATTGCTTTATTCAACGTTTTCACAATTCACTCTACCGCAATCTATTTCGGTGTGCGGTCAGTCCAGTCGTTAGCGTATTAAAGCGGCAATCATTTTACATGTTTGATGAAATACTTGCGAATCTGAGTGCGCGTCTACTAAGCTGGGTTCGGTGAGATTATCGCACTCTCATTTTGCAAGATATTCTCAATTTCAAGCTACAGTTACCACCCTCTGAAATCGAACCGAAAAATCTCTCAGATCTGTTTATGGTGGCTATTATAATCAAGAAAGTAGTTCCTTGACACTTTTAAAATTATTTTGTTAAGGTATATCGTAATTAAATATATTTTTTGAGTGCTTAAAAAGTACTTAAAAGGTGCTTGTTGAAAGATTTGGCTACGTCCGATTCAGGGGGAAGGGCCAAAGGCAGTTGGAGCGTAGCGATCGCCTATTCGCGATCATATGTTGATATTACAGTCAAACCCCGCTATAGTGAACTCCCGGATATTGTGAACGAAATGTTCGGTCCCGTGCCTTGCTATACACATATGTTATTTTTTGTGGATATAGTGAACCAAAAAAGTGAGGAAGTTGGATATAATGAACTTTTTTCTTTCTTCGACTGATTTTTTTTTCTTCATTTTTTTGTAATAATTTTGAAATTTCTATTACAAAATAAATACATACATCTATTTTTAAAACCATCTATAGAGGGGAATGTAACGATAAGCATTTTTTCTTGTTTGCTTCTTTTATCACACTTTCCCATCCCTAAACAAACCAAGCTGATATTTCCAACCCAGGCAGATGATGATGCACCTATAAGATGTCAGCGGGATCAATATGCATTTTTTGTCATAAGAAATGCGTCATTATTGGCCAAAGGTTTGGCCACTAATATTGTTGATAAGGCCCTCATTTCAACTCCTTTTTACACTCGGTTCAGTTTAAAAAAGCCTGCAAACAAGTTTCTCAAATTTAACTATGGCGAGCAATAAACTTAAAACTTTCTTCATGGATGATAAAATGGACATAATCAGAAAAATGGAAGATGGATGCAATCAAGCTGATATTTTCAGAGAATATAAACTATCCAAATCTGCAGTTTGTAACATATGAAAAAATAGGCAGTTAATAATTACTGCTCATGAAACAAATTTAGATGCCAGAAAAAAGTTGAGAAAAGCAGATCACATGGATGTTGAAGAAGCATTATCCCAATATCTAAACAAATTGCGATGAATTTGCTAAGCGATTTTATGATACTACTTTTATGTCCTAAAAAATATCAGGTTAGTCAGGTTTAAAATGCGGAATAACAGAAATTCAGGAAAGTGTTTCCATATCTGATGTTGAGGATTGCTCATCAGCTAGAGATTACTAATTTTTTTTTGTACACAAGAAAAAGAGTAATTCAAAATTAACACATTTTTTGCTACTACATAATATTTTTCAGTCATTTATTTGAATAATGTGTAATGAAAGGGAGGATTTATGGAACCATTAGTAAAATTGCCTGCGTAACGGATATAGTGAACTCCCGGTTATAGTGAACCAAAATGTCGGTCCCTTGAAGGTTCACTATATCGGGGTTTGACTGTAANTGTTGAAAGATTTGGCTACATCCGATTCAGGGGAAGGGCCAAAGGCAGTTGGAGCGTAGCGATCGCCTATTCGCGATCATATGTTGATATTAATATCAAAACATCGGATGTTTTTCAACTAACTGACAATTTATGTTAAAAAAAGGGGGATAGATAATTTTCAATTCCAAAATTATTTCCACATTCATCGATATCCGATTCAACATTTCGCTCATAAATTCACTCTTGCTCAGAAAAGAAATATTTTTTTTATCATATTACGCAATACAAAAATTCATATAAAAAATGAATTCGAATAAAAAAAAAACTGCAATGCTCACAGAGTGAAAGCAGGAAAAAATTTAGTACATATTAAGTATTATAAATTTAAATTAAATATTTGTCCCGCAGTGGACTGATACTTAAGACCGGTAGATCCCAGCAGATCACCGAAGTCAAGCATCACTGGTTGTGGTCAGTGTGCGGGTGGGTGACCACTTGGATCAGTCTGCCTAGCGACCGAGGGTGTGCGGTATTGGTCCTCGTTAAACTGTTCTACCGTAAAGTGCTCGACTTCGTGTGCAGGTCGTCGGGCTACCGAAGCGGGGGTGCCATCCCCTCTGCAGAGGATCAAAATTGTGATGGCATATCTTCGGATCATCCTCAAGGTTGTTTCCCAGACAGTCGCCAATAGCCGATTGTGCAGCTCTAGTGCGACGTATATGAACTATACAACAACATAAATTCACTCTTTTTCCAATGTTTTTTTTCCCCTTCATACCTTTGTTTACTTGCTACGTAAAGAATCATTCACTGTGCTTTAAAAACTAAACTATAAATCTTAAAAATAAGTACATGTAAAAGGACACTAGAACACATGATTTCGTTTTTACAACTTTTTCCATCTCTAATTGAATTGAAAATATCCACACAAAAAAAAAAATTCTTATTTTCTGACAATTGCATAGTATATGCCGGGATAAGGAGATTATATTGTGCTGATTCCATTTTGTCCATTATTATTAAACTTGATATGGTAGCATACATAATTAATTAATATATAATATATGACAGTTTCAAATTCATTGTAAATATCGAAAGGAGATATTATGTATGAAATATATATGTTCTTGATCGCAGCACTCGAATTCGCCGTCAGGGGAGAATACCGGTTCAATGTTTTGACCCTTCTCTCTCCTTATCTCAGTTGTTTACAGTATTTTCCTCTTTTTTTAAACTTTTTTCGTATTTAATTGTCAAATATAT